TCTCGGGTGGGTGACCTCCAAACCATATAGGGAACCTCCAAGTGACCTAGAGAAAAACAATCTCCCGACCTGACCTGCAACAGTTTGTGTTCTCTAAAACAGAAGAATGAATTTTAGGAACAAATGGAGGTTATGAGCAGAATATATTTATTGAGAGAAAGAAAGCTCCTGTCCAAGAGAGGGACAGGAGGGGGACCAGAGTGGGTTGCCCCCGACATTTTTTATTTCAAAAAGAAATTTTTATTTTGACTTGTCTGGTGATACTTCTCAGTTTGTGTTGCAGATCAATCAGAGCTGCAAGCAGAATGACAGCAAAGCTGAGTGTAATAAGCTAAAGGGGATTCAGAAGTCTTGTTTCCCTGAGCCCAAACTGAGCATGCGCAGCATATTTATTGAGAAGCTTAGAAGGTATGAATCATGGGCAAAGAACAAGGCACAAGAGACCCTCTAAATCAAGAGATTGTGATCAGTCACATACTGCAAACTTATCTCAAGACATTTATCTTAAGACTTTGAAGTACAAAAGATTTCCTCCTCTGGTCTGTAAGGGCACTTCTTAGAACAGAAACAGGATTGTTGTGTCCCTGGCAGCTTGCCACCAGGCATTGTCCTTCAGCTTGCTGATTATGAGAAGTAGAATAGCCTTTTCTTTATATTCATGAACTTCGTCCTATGTTATTTGTCATGAATTATATAGCAAGTTTTGGTATTAAATAGCTATATAACAACTATCAAGGCTTCTCTAAGAAAGGTGTGTTCTTCAGAGATCTCTTCCGTGTGTTAAAGATTTGTGGTTTGTGTTTCTCCCAAGATCCTGCTTTCCCAATTAATTGAGAGTGGGATGTTGGTTTCTGTGTGGCTCTATCCCCCAAACTTTAGGTGTAGGCTACAGCAAGGTCATTACCCCAGAGCTTCCCAATATTGTTACCCAAGGAGAACAAGTGCTTACAGATATGACATCTTAGCTACAGTAATAAAATCAAGCAAAATTGAGAAAGTGACAATCTGCTGTAACTATTGATTTTGTACTTCAGATCATAGGAGCAAAGTCTATAGTTATATAACAGAACAACTTGTTAATTAATATTTTGCATGCAAAATGTTTTCCCTTGTTAGAGTGGAATTACCCTGTGTTCCTCTGGCCACACTGGTTGCCAAGTCCTAGGCACTTCCCATGCTCTGGTGTTCCATTTAGAAGGTCACAACTTTACTGGAGTTTCCTGTATGGCTACACTCACAATGTTCTGAATCATTCTATTGGAGTCTTT